AGTTCTTTGTGGACTTCCCCACATTTTTGGAGAAGACACCTCAGACTTTTTCAAAACAATATTGGCAAGTACCATTCTCTGTATATTTCTCTCTAAACTAATCCCCCACACATACATTACATATAGCCATTCAATTATTCTTCATTCAACTATCCCAGAAACAGACCAGACACAAACTCTTCAAATGTAATTGTACATTTTCTTGTGTGTTTGTTCTGCCATCATTGCACTGTGCATTGTTTTCTGATGTCTAATTTTCATACAATACTTTAATGTTTACCTGTTAGTTGAGTTGTATGTAGAACAGAAGGTAATGGTCCTGATTCTTTAAGTTACATGCACATTTGTGAGATTTCCTATTTGTAATGTAACTAGAATTTTAATATTTCTGTATTTTTTTTATTAGGACTGTGATTGCAACACACCCAAGATTTCCATTGGGATTATAACTGTGATGACTGAAGAAACTCAGGATTCATCACAAGCACTGCATTTAGAGGCTTCACACACAGCAATTGTCCTAGAAGGAGCCATTGTTATGGATGAACTTCAAAAACTTCCGGATGCCATGTGCCTACTTTTTGGGCTAATATACTGTATGCGTTTAATTCGAAGTACACTCCACAGCTCAAGAACACCTTTGATTTTATTCAGAGACTGTTTCTTTCTCTGGGACACAAATTCCTGAAGCCTAAACTACAGTCACCTGAAAACATGCTGCTCATGTAAGTAAATGTTGTTTCAGATTGAAAATTCTGTCATAATTTACACTCCCTCATCTTGTTTCAAACCCGTAAGAGAAAGGGTCTAGTCTTAAAATAAATCATAAATACATCTTAATAATCTCTTTATATCTTTTAAGTTAGGGTCATCTGGACTATCAATAGAGGGACATAAAATGCTTAACTGGTTAATTTTAAATATTTGTATTTGTGTTTCAAAGAATATCCAAATTTACAGGTTTGTTATGAGATGTGGGAGAGTAAATTATGACAGATTTTTCAGTTTAGTGGCTATCCTGTTACTATCCCTTTAAAGGGTTAGTTCACCCAAAAATGAAAATTAAGTCATTAATTACTCACCCCCATGCTGTACCAACCCCGTAAGACCTTCGTTCATCTTCGGAGCACAAATGAAGATATTTTTGATTAAATTTGAGAGCTGTATCACTGCTACATAGGCACTCTAAGGGATCGAAACTTGAGGGCCCAGAAAGTCAATGAAGAAAATGTTTAAATATTCCATGACTACAGTGGCTCAAGTATAAGTTTATCAAGCGACGAGAATACTTTTTGTGCGAAAAAACAAACAAATATAATGATTTTATTCGACTATTCCTTTTCTTCCTTGTAGGCCTGAAACAAGAGATAACGAGATTTCCATGACGCATGTGTGCGAGAAATCTTTTTAAGTCTTGTTTCAGGCCCAGAAGGAAGAAAAGGAATAGTCGAATAAAGTCGTTATTTTTGTTTTATTTCCCCACAAAAAGTATTCTCGTCGTTTGATAAACTTATAGTTGAGCCACTGTCGTCACATGGAATATTTAAACATTTTCTTCAATGACTTTCTGGGCCGTCAAGTGTCTATCCCTTAGGAGCCAATGTGGTAGTGATCCAGCTCTCAAATTTAATCAAAAATATCTTCATTTGTGTTCCGAAGACGAACGAAGGTCTTACGGGGTTGGTACAGCATGGGGGTGAGTAATTAATGACTTAATTTTCATTTTTGGGTGAACTAACCCTTTGAGTTTGTGGTTGTACAAAATTTCTAAAATACACAAAACATTTATAAATTGTCACTTGTCAACCTTGGTTAAAAATGCTTTTCTTGTTTTATAACAGTTGTATTGTTAAATGCTTTTGTTTAACATATTTTTATATTGCAACTTAAGTGTCAATTTTCCTGCATTACCCTAATGTTGATGCTTTTTAGTTGCATTTGCACTGCACATTTGAATTGCTTTAGGGTTAACAAGAATAACAATGTGTTTTTGTGATTAAAATTGTTTGTTACATTAACAAAAAACTGTTTGGGGTGTCTGAATGACATTGTTTAGTACACTGTTGTGCATAAGGACAATTGATGAGTAATAAATAATGTTTTACCCGAGTTCAGTTTTGTCTTTTTGTCTTAACTTAATTTGTTTAGTTCAGCTTACTTCAAAATTTTAAGGCAATCGGTTTCCTAATTTTTTCCTAGTAATGTGAACTCTAATAAGAAGTTAACACAACTAATAATTTTGAGTCAACTTTACTTGAGTATACTTGATTTACAAGTTGTCTATACAAATGCTATTAAGTTGCGCCAACTAAAAATTAATACAATACTTTACTTGGAAAATTTAAGGCAATCGGTTTCCTCACTTTTTCTAAGTAAAGTCAACTTGTTACATTTTACAGTGTATTAACATCCAAAAGTGTAATAGAGCCCGACCGATAAAGGATTTTGAAGGCCGATACCGATACAAATATTTGTTGGTTTTAAAATCCGATATTGCGATATATCGGCCGATATTTTTATTTATTTATTTTCAGAAGCGCCCAACAAAACAATATCAGCAGTTTGCAGGATGTGTGGCGCGTTATAAACGAGTGTTGCCAACAGGGATGGTGTAGAGTGCCCTCTGACATACACTCATGACATGGTAGAAGCGCATTTCGTCCATTTTTATTTTATTTTTGAAATATTAATTTATCGGCCATTATAACTGCCAATACTGATAGATTGCCGATATTATATCGGTCTGGCTCTATATTGTAAATCGCGGCAGCAGCTACAGGTTGGTAGTCCAAGGCATTGTTGTCAATCTGTACTTCCAGAGTTCTTCCCACCAGAGCCTCGCTTTCGATTTCAAAATGGTGAAATCATCGTATTCACATATCAGAATTTCAGCTCTTCCTCACAGTGACACGAACAGTAACGATGGCGTTGTTTTTCCCCGTATCAATTAAAGTCCGAGTCATCCTTTGGAATTGCATCAAACTGGATTTGATTTTAAATTTGATTTTTTTTTTTTTTCAGCTGATGTTCGCAGGCGGCCAATGAAGACCATAGGCTGGCAATGGCATTAAGCAAATTTGTTACAAACCTACGTCGGTTCGTGCAGGAATTAAGACTAGAAATACTGATGACTCATTTCAGCAGTTCAGAATCGATTCTGTCATTTAAAAACAATAACTTTATTTGTAAAGCAGCACTTAAACATTTACAAACAGCTATACACACTGCTTGACAGGTATATTCAAAAAAGCAAACAGGGGCCCTTTAACAATGCTTTCCCCCCCAACATTTGAAACCAAACCACTATTCAGGGAAATAAACATTCTGGTAGTTCACACACAGTTGTCCTTGTTTATTAAACTAGAATGAATATAGGCTTTCAAGATGGTTTTCATCCTCAGGGACAGGGGTGCAATTTTGTGTGCTGTGGGAAAGAACTGACCAGGATGTTCTCCTGTCCGTGTCCCCCACGCATTATTACTGATACGGCTATAAAGAAAATGGCTTTATTAACCTTGACACTGCACCGCACAAGGACTCGGCTGTGCAACTTGTCTAATCAAATGTGTAATTATCTGATACGAGCTGGCTGTTCAGAAGACAGAGAAAACACTCATACTGAAGTCCTTCTAGTGGCACAGCACAAAGACTCTTGCATTAATATCTACACACTGTTCTCACAGATAACAGAATACCTCTCATGATTTCTTTGTTTGGCGCAGAATAAAAAATGACAGCTCATTATTAACTAAGGGGAAGTTGTTCCTTCACTTACAAAGAAATACCATACAATGGAGTAATGGTTTTAGATATGGTAATTTGATATTGCACTGCATCATTACCATTCTTTTTCAATAGAAGAATACCATGAAATTACCATGGTGCATGTCCAAAAAAAAAAATCATTTACTCACCCTCATGTTGTTCCAAACCTGTATGAATTTCTTTCTTCTTCTGAACACAAAAGAAGATATTTCTATGAAGTCGATGGCTACCGTAAACTGGTTACCAACATTCTTCAAAATATCTTTTTAATTCAACAGAAGAAAGACACTCACACAGGTTTGGAACAAAGTGAGTAAATGATGACATAATTTTCATTTTTGGGTGAACTATTCCTTTAACGTGTACTTTTTGTTATAGATAAAAGCCTAAAGCAGGGCTTTTTAATACATGATACCAAAGACCCAGAAATATTATCATCCTTGTGCGAGTGTGTTATTCAAAAGTCTATAAATATACTCAAATATCATCCAAAAATTAAGTATCATCTCAAAATAGGTATATAATCTGTTATTTGTCACTTAAGCACTATATAAAAACTGTCATTAAATCATCTTAAAACTCCTAATTCTGATGAATGGATCGGTAACGTGGTACAGATTATTACTTAAATAGACAATTTGACAATCCCATCATCATGTAACTGGATTGTTGATCCATAAGAACATTCAAGAGCCCTCTAGTGGATTTCTGACAGCCTGTGTTTAAAATCAACTTTATTTTGACTGCCTTTGTGTTATTTAAAGCACAGTCCCATCGGCTGCATTTGAACCTGATAACTCCACAGTCCAGGATAAAGACAATAAATATACAAAATGTGTCTATTACATGCATATGTGTGATATCTTCACCTGAGTTCCCTGTATTGTTTCAAGGACGCGCATAATAGACAACAATGAAAACCCCCCAAACAGTAGGACTTTTTAAATACCTAATTAGCTGTCAATCAGACATCATCACTTCTGGGCATCATTACCGTTGACAACAGGGAACGCGCCCAAAATGACCAAACCTGCAACACGCGACTATGACGCCTAGGTAGGCAGCTTACTAAGCGGTTAAGTCACAAAATAAGGGTTTATAATCACCAAAACTGAAACTTGTATACTGAACTAAAAGAAACTCAATCACTGTAGTTTTTCAACGGACGCTATTACTGCAAAAATCACAACAAAATACGTCAGTAAGTGAGTAGTAACGGCACAAGTGGACCTTACCTTCAGCATTCCGAGTTAAAGAAAGTCCCATGATTCGCAGGTGAACTCCAATCTAATTCCTTTACAAAACAAAGTCAGAGATTTGATCATATTCCATACAGAAACACTTATATGTTGTCGGACCAGCTGCTGTCTTCACCCTCCACTCACTCTATCCAAAATACTGCCGTTTGCTCGGATCGCGTGAAGCCGGTCTGTGGCCACGCCTACCGCGATCTGTGATTAGTCGAGCTGTTGCCAAACTCCGCCCACGCACTTGTTCACAAGAGTGGGCAAGAATATACTATGGTAAATAGACTTTTTCAGGTATTTCAGACAACTTTATAGTTTTCACACCAGGTCATTTAAAATGATATTGTTTACTGTTTGGGTATTTTAGGGTGAAATATTCTTGGATATCAGTTTAATAACAACTATGAACTCAGCTTGGAGTAATAGTGGCCCCAACTGGAAGACTGAGGAAAAATCTTCTTTATAGATTTTCTTCTTTGCCTTAAAAACAAATTAGGATTTTGAAACAAACCAGATTGAGAGTATTATGCTTGAATTCATATATAGAACCATTTAAAAGCATGGAAACATTACTATTTTTGACAAACAGTAGAGCGTTGTGGAGTCTGATAAGAATTTAAATGTGTACCTTGAAATGCAATGCCAGTCGCTTTGGATAAAAGTGTCTGCCAAATGCATAAATGTAAATGACATATAACACATAAACATTACTTTAATGATTTCTGAAGGATCATGTGACACTGAAGACTGGAATAATGATGCTGAAAAATTCAGCTTTGATATCAGGAATAAATAAGTATACTAAAACCATTCTTTTAAATTGTAATAATATTTCACAATATTATTGTTGTATTAATAGCATTTTACTTCCGAACACAACACTTCAATATTGCTTAAAATCAACTACATCTCCCAGAATCCCACGGTGCCAGTGACGTGTCAATCCTGAGACGATGTCGTTGCTAGGCGATGCGACGCTCTCAGACTCACACACTCGCTTCCTGGTGGCGTTTCATCTCCGTTTTAAATAATCTTCTGCTTTAAAATGATTGTTTATATGTAAATGCGTATATAAAGGAACATGTCATCAACGCTAGAATCTCTCTTCTCATTGGAACTGGTGATCGATTACGTCTGCGTCGATGGATCACGTGGCAATATTTTGGATCTTGCAGTGGCAGTCCGCTTGTTAGATTTCCCCACACTTCTCATTTACCAATCAGAACAAAAGGATTTCTCATCAAAATCAGGCTATGCTGACCTGTGCGTGTCGCCTGAGGCTTTATCTCAACCCGACGACGGAGACAATCTGAAGTATTCCTTCCATAAAGGCAAATCCTGTCTTTTTAAGATGAATTTGCAGTCGTTACACACCCATCTCCTAAACACTCCTCTCTACGCAATGGTATTGGATGTAAAGGATGAGATTCCCAAACTTATAGGAAGCTCCTTGATATCCCTGGCTAAAGTGATGGATAGAATTAAACTGGATGTGGATAAACATGGTATTAGCACTCCGAGCGCTCATGGAGAGAGACTGTTCAACCCAATCTGCAATCTGATGGGAAACGACATCGGTGCCATTTCACTGGCTTATAAGATTGTAAGCCTAGGAGCGAATTTAATCCCTCACATCCCAGATAACAGAGTCCATGAAGTCGGCCTGACCCATGGAAAAGGAGAAGAACTCAAGTCAGTTCCAGTGTATTCTGGAAAAAATGAGATGTCTGAGAACAATCCTGGTAATGTTCTCACACAAGATGGATGGTCAGCTGATGTAGTGATATCAGAAGACAAGCATCCAGCGTTCACTCAGACTGAACAGAGCGTCTCGTGGTCTGAAGAAGCACAAGAACACACCGCTTTCTGTCCTCCACCTCTGTTTTACAGCTCCGGCCTGAAGAGCCAACAGGAGAGGACAAGTAGGATGTTTAACTGACACTGTTATATTTTATAAATGGATTTCTAAGGGCTTTCAATTTTCAATAAGGCCTGGTTTCACAGACAGGGTTTAGATTAAGCCAAGATTAGGCCTTAGTTCAATTTAAGTAGCTCATACTGGTGTGAATCATGAGGCAAAACAATGACATACAATCCATTAAACATGCATTTTAATCTGGGACTGGGTTTAAAGGTTTAGTTCACCCAAAAATTAATATTATCCAATCATTTACTCATCCTAAAGCCATCCTTGGTGTATATGACTTACTTCTTTTAGAGACACAATCGTAGTTATTAAAAAAATATCCTGGCTCTCTTCAGCTTTATAATGGGAGTGAATGGTGCCTTAGATTTTGAAGCCCACAAAAAACACATCCATCCATCATAAAAGTAATCCATATGACTCCAGGGTCAGAGGTCACTATCCCGCCGGAACTAGACTTGTTACCAGAAACCAGTGATTATAAAGTATATTTTTCTCAGAAAAACGCTTCAGACGGCCTTTATTAACCCCCTGGAGTCGTATGGATCACTTTTAGATGGATGATGCGCTTTTTTGGGCTTCAAACACTCTATTTACTCCCATTAATCTGGGAAAAGTCAGGAGATTTTTAATATAACTCCAATTGTGTTCGGCTGAAAGTAGACAGCGATTTAATTAAACCTAGGATGGCTTGAGGGTAAGTGAATTATGGGATAATTTTCATTTTGGGGTGAACTAAATCTTGTCTATAAGTCTTGTCTGTGAAATATATGATCTCTGATTGATAGCTCATACTTTTAAGCAAGTGAAAGCATTTTAGTATGTGTTCATCAACACCGTGGGTCAGCAATGACTGATATTTATATACATTTTATGTAAGTATCTGCAATCTGATTGATTTACATTACAAGCTTCAGATTTTCATCTCACTTTTTGTCCATATGAATAACAGCATTTACACCAAATTGCATATTTTTGCTCAGTTTGGTTCCCTTTCCTCCTCGAATGCCATTTTTTCACTTGATCATACTATATGAGCCATGATGATATTTCAAATATGATGCAAAATCAAATATGCAATCTGTTCTTACTATTGTTTCAGGCTTTAAAGGGTTACATGCAGCAATGGAGAGTCTTAATCTAGAGGATCCAGAAGACGGAAATAATGAAGAATCATCTGTCATGCATGAGGTTTCAGAGATAACATCTGCAAAGGTGGAGCGATTGAGTAAATCAGCTTTAACTCCAGGATCACAGCATAAAGAAACTGATTCAGCTCCTCTTGGGAACGTCATCAGGCAGTTACCGCTGCTGAATGCTTTATTAGTCGAACTATCACAGCTTCACGGAGAGATGCCACACCAGCAGCCGCTATCCATCCATCCTAACCTGGCGTGGCTGTACACATCAGCACATCCGTCAGAGCCTGAGCATCAGAAAACTATCAAAGCTAGTCCTAAACAGAGACCACTGATCAAATCAGTGAAGAGTGCAAGGGGTGCAAAGAAAAATGAAGAAAAGTTGCAACCTAAAAGGACGCTTAAATATGGCTTGACAAACACTTTCCGTCTCAGACTCAAGCTGGTCAAACCGGGTCTTACCAAACGGCACGAATGCACCGAATACCAGAACGTAATGACGAAAAAACGTGTCCGTAAGTCAGTTCACAGAGATGAAACTACATTAGTCAGCAGTTTTGAAATGGATCCAACACCACTTAAAACAGCATCAAAATCACAAACAAGACCAAGTTCAAATGAAAGTAATGTTGCGTCGTTCTCAGCTGAGAAAGACAAAAGAGTTCATATTCCAAGTGCGCTCAGTCAGCATTCAGATCCGAACAATTCCGGCGTCCAGAGTTTTAAAGAAAGCATCGGGGAAGATAGTCGAGCGAGCAGCCGTTGCATGAAGAGTAACGAAGAGTATCAGGACGACTTCACGAGCCTCAACACAACCGACGGATACTCACCTGAGCCGCTTAGCAGTCCAGAACCAAACAGGCGTAAAACAAGTGTTTCTGGTCACAATAAAGGTCTTCCGGTTCCTGTCCCAGCGGAGAAGTCTCCTCAACGCTCTGTCAAAGGCACACATGTCATCCGCCCGCGTGTGCAGACCTCGGCTCTGAGTCTGTCTTCAGACGACAGCGAGGATGAGGACGTGTCCTCTAGCGGATCACAGACCACTTCATCTGTCCGGAAATCCCAGAGCTTTGATAGCGACTCCGGGGACTCAAAGTACTCAGATTTATCTGTGCTGAAGTCCAGTTCAGACGCGGAGGAGGAACGGGACAGACTGGGCTCTATGGGACTGGACCAGAATTGCCATCACATTTCAGAACTGGTCTTCAACAAACTTCCAGGATACACACTGTGATTAGACCGTGATGATCTGATGCACCGCCGGAGAAAAAGAGTGACGACTTCTTTATATTAGTTCAACTGGCTTTATGCACAGCGGCACTACTTCCTGAACTTAAGCCAGCTCTTTTGTTTCCTGTCTGCCATTATTGGCCAAATTGATTAGTTCAGGTGTGCCTGACCTCAGTAGTCACGGCAACAATAATCAGGCACACCTGAATTAATCAAGTTTGGCCAATAATGGCAGACAGGAAACAAGGAGCTGGCTTAAAGGGTTAGTTCACCCAAAAATGAAAATTCTGTCAGTATTTACTCACCCTCATGTTGTTCCAACCCCGTAAGACCTTCGTTCATCTTCGGAACACAAATTAAGATATTTAAGATATTAAGATCGCTCCTGCATACAGTCCATAGGCTTCTTGAGGGAATGACTCTTGCTGTCCTCGAAAAGTCATTAAAGACATCGTTAAAATAGTCCAAGTGACTACAGGGGCTCAATCTTAACTTTATCAAACGACGAGAACACTTTTGTGCGCAAAAAAACAACAAAAATAACGACTTTATTTCAACTATTCGTTTATTTCTCCCTCTGCGCGAGTCAGGTTACTAGTTTAATAGCGTAAGCTTCTGTTATTGTACGTCACACGCATCACACACACATGACCAGCGTCGGCCAATAGTGAGCCTACGTGTGACGTAGCTCTACGCAATCACACTACGTTAACTGACTTACAGGCTCATGGAGAAGGAAGTGAATAGTTGAAATAAAGTCGTTATTTTTGTTGTTTTTTTGCGCACAAAAGTGTTCTCGTCGTTTGATAAACTTAAGATTGAGCCCCTGTAGTCACTTGGACTATTTTAACGATGTCTTTAATGACTTTTCGGGGACAGCAAGAGCCAGTCCCTCAAGAAGCCTATGGACTGTATGCAGGAGCGATCTTAATATCTTAAATATCTTAATTTGTGTTGCGAAGATGAACGAAGGTCTTACGGGGTTGAAACAACATGAGGGTGAGTAAATACTGACAGAATTTTCATTTTTAGGTGAACTAACCCTTTAAGTTCAGGTAGTAGTGCAGCTGTGCATAAAGCCAATTCAATATGATTTTACATGCAGACATTCATTCATTGGCACAGTTATAACCTTGAATATATTAGTAAATGATAATAGTCATTTAATATGGATAAAATGGGAATGTGGATTATGAGTGAATATTTGTTTTAAATTAGATGCGCCATAATGCTTTTTATACAAAAACGATGCCCTGTATAAATGCTTTAATATTTAAGTATAACAGCAATGTTGTAGCCTATTTGATAAATTATTAGTGCTAATTGCATCTAGCATTTAAGTTTGTCTTTATATCATGTGTGTGTGTGTGTGTGTGTGTGTGTGTGTGTGTGTGTGTGTGTGTGTGTGTGTGTGTGTGTGTGTGTACAGTATGTGAGTGAAATACAAAACAAATTAATGGAGAAAAAAAATGGAAAACAATATTTTTATTTATATGGTTTATATTAATTTGTTCTATTTCTTAGTTATTGGCACAATACCACCTCCACATTCTCTATTGTTTAACTTGAAATAAAATAGTAATTTTAAATTAAACTGTGATTGGTTTTTGTTATGGGTTTTTTAATAGCATGAATTTGAAAAAAAAAATTAAGTATAAAAAGTGCAGATAATCAGACGAAAACTTACATTAATATAGTGTTAAACTTATAAATAGTATTATTACAATTAGTAATTTCTGCTTCTTTGAGAACCAATACTTTCAGAGTAAAAAAAAAAAATTCCCCCATAAAAATAGCAGATGATTTAATGTTTCTCGTGGTGAATGAATAAATTATTTCACAATTAACTTGCACAAGACCAATTTTTTATCATTTATAAACGTTCAGAGTCGCTCTTTTGCGCATGCGTCATAACTATGCTCCCGGAAGTAACAGTAATAAGTGTGTGGGATCCATAAGACAGTAAAAGGTGGGGATCCTGATTCCTGACTTGAACTATAGCAGCAAGAATCATCTGTGAATGATGAAGCACGTGTTCCTGACTGGCGTTCCCGGTAAAATGCATCATCCATTTACGAAGTAAACACAAAAAAGCCGTGCATTTTGTTCTGCGTGCCATGTGACGTCAACAAACTTTAAAAAATTATAGACAAGACGACATGCTTTTAGAGATAGGGACTCGTTTTGCATGTTGTTAAATATTATTATAATATACTATTAATTGTAGAATAATAAACTCAACACATCAACAGCCCTCTTTGCTTTGAAAGAAGCAGAGTAAATGCGCGAGAGAGAGAGAGAGAGTAGTGGTTGCTTAAAAGATCCTTCTCTTTTAATAGACATTGTACTTCTGAGTCATTAAGACAAACAGTTTTCATTAATATGTTAAGATAAATAATACATATAGATACTTAAATTAAATCACAATTAATTATATTGATATTACTAACTATAAGCAACCAATTGTATACACTATTGTGCTAGAATATCACTTCACAGCATTTTTCTTCTTACTTGGAATACCTTGAAATTGGCATTTCATCAATCAATTAATATCTGCATGTATTCATTTATCTGTTAAATAGCCATGCAGCAAGATCATTTACTACAGAACTCCTAAGGACAAAAAGGAAAAAATATGAGATTGGAGGAAATGCTTTTGCATTCTCTCGCAGATGTTTTGCAAACCCCCAAGAAACTTTGCGTTGAGTTCGCTCACAAAATATTTGCGTTCCCCCAAAAAACGTCGTGTTTGCAACATTGCACGGAAAACCTGTTCATTGCGAGTGAATGCAAAGTTTCTCAGTGGAAGACAAAACTTTGACAAATCATTTTTCCTCGCATCTCATTTTTTTTTCCCTCACCATATCTATTTAAGAGCTCTGTAATTTACAGTCAGACATAAGGGTTTAACAATATATCGTGTCACAAATTATCGCAATACAAAAATGCAACAATATGTATCGTGGATAGTTCACCCAAAATAAAAATTACTCTGCGAGAAAAAAATGAAAGTTTTAGAGTTTTAGTGTCTAACTATGTTAAACTACTGTATAATAATCCAATAGGGGGAATATTTGTGTCCTGGTAATGACAAATGTCTTCTATTACCTGTAAAAAGTGGCCTAACATTATTTTAAATATAACTAGTAGGGATGGGCAACGATTAATCGCGATTAATCGCATCCAAAATAAAAGTTTGTGTTTACGTAATATATGTGTGTGTGGTTTGTATAATTATTTTTTATATATAAATACACACACATGCATGTATATATTTAAGAAATATTTGCATGTATATACTTTATTTATACATAATTAATATTATATATAAATATTTGATATATTAAGAACACATTTTTCTTAAATATATACATACATGTGTCAGTATTTATATATATACAAAATAATTATACACACCACACAGACATAAATCATGTAAACACAAACTTTTATTTTGGATGCGATTAATCGTTGCCCATCCCTAATAACTAGAGCGCAAGTAGCCTGGCTAGCGCAAGCATATTCGTCTAAAATAATTCAGTATTTTCAGCTTCAGAATCATTAATATTGTTATTCTGGTGTCTCGCTTTACACACACAATGAAAAACTAAATTCAGCATTTTAATCAACAGTTCATTTTTGTTAACATTTTATCAAATGTCTTGGAGTATCGCAAGTTCGTGAGTCGTGGAGTCATTATCACCAAATAAAACCATTAAAACCAAATGAAACCAACACAATGAAGTGTTTACCTCTACCAGGTGTGGGTAAGACGACTCTGGTGAAGAGTGTGTGTGAGGCTGTGGTCTCCTCCGGGGTCTCTGTCAGTGGTTTCTACACAGAGGAGGTCCGAGAGAGAGGCAGGAGAGTGGGCTTTGATGTGGTCACGCTCACAGGTGATCGAGGACGTCTGTCCAGGCTCAGGTATCGTCTCTCCATCAATCAGACGCTTTTAGTGCTGTTGTCGTCCACTAACACACTCTCTGTTTGATCCCAGCACTGAATCCGCCGCAGGTGGACGTGAATACAGGGTCGGACAGTACGTGGTCGATCTTCAGTCGTTTGAGAGTCTCGCACTCCCTCTTTTCAGAAACGTATGTATAAATGCATAGTAAAAATAACATGGATTTTCTGATCTAAATTGATGTATGATATACAGAATATTGGGGTCGAAAAAATTGGGAAAGCCTAAATTCAATTTGTTCATCATACACTCACCTAAAGGATTATTAGGATCCCCTGTTCAAATTCTCATTAATGCTATTATCTGATCAACCAATCACATGATGGCAGTTGCTTCAATGCATTTAGGGGTGTGGTCCTGGTCAAGACAATCTCCTGAACTCCAAACTGAATGTCAGAATGGGAAAGAAAGGGGATTTAAACTAGGGGCTGCACGATTTGGGCCAAAATGATAATCACGATTATTTTGATCAATATTGAGATCACGATTAATTACCACGATTATTTGTTAATTTTAACCAAAACAAATGTTATTGTCACATAGGCTAATTATAACTGCTTTCACATCACTATCCCTTTAAAGGGTTAGTTCACCCAAAAATGAAAATTCTGTCAGTATTTACTCACCCTCATGTTGTTCCAACCCCGTAAGACCTTCGTTCATCTTCGGAACACAAATTAAGATATTTAAGATATTAAGATCGCTCCTGCATACAGTCCATAGGCTTCTTGAGGGAATGACACTTGCGGTCCTCGAAAAGTCATTAAAGACATCGTTAAAATAGTCCAAGTGACTACAGGGGCTCAATCTTAAGTTTATCAAACGACGAGAACACTTTTGTGCGCAAAAAAACAAGAAATTTAACGACTTTATTTCAACTATTCACTTCCTTCTCCATGAGCCTGTAGTCAGTTAACGTAGTGTGATTGCGTAAAGCTACGTCACACGTAGGCTCACTATTGGCCGACGCTGGTCATGTGTGTGTGATGCGTGTGACGTACAATAACAGAAGCTTACGCTATTAAACTAGTAACCTGACTCGTGCAGAGGGAGAAATAAACGAATAGTTGAAATAAAGTCGTTATTTTTGTTGTTTTTTTGCGCACAAAAGTGTTCTCGTCGTTTGATAAACTTAAGATTGAGCCCCTGTAGTCACTTGGACTATTTTAACGATGTCTTTAATGACTTTTCGAGGACAGCAAGAGCCAGTCCCTCAAGAAGCCTATGGACTGTATGCAGGAGCGATCTTAATATCTTAAATATCTTAATTTGTGTTCCGAAGATGAACGAAGGTCTTACAGGGTTGGAACAACATGAGGGTGAGTAAATACTGACAGAATTTTCATTTTTGGGTGAACTAACCCTTTAAGACACTAAGCGTCAGTGGGCGGGGCCTATAGTGCAATGATGTATAACTATTCGTTGATGTCTTGCTCATATGCAAACGTGACATCACAGATCCCACAAAATCGACACAAGGCATTTTTGTAACTTGATTAAATAAGTGTTTTGTTTATAATGAAGATGTTTTAAGGCAGTTATGAAACTGGCAGGATGTTTTAATGGTGCAAAGACCTTTTATATGTCAACAAATCAAAGCAAATTTGATCATATCATATCATGACCCCTTTAAGTTCTTATTCACTGGAAATTTTGCAGCACTCAGTCATTTCTAGTTTGAACTTCCTTATCTTCACCACTATGCTACCATCATACACAAACACATATTTCATCTGTCTGTGAGCAATAGTCATGCATTCCTGACTGACACATTTAGTGTGTCTGGAGCCGGAGCCTTCATGTTCATCATCTTTGATAGTTAGCGTAGGATGCGCCGTGTACGAGACCTGAAACCTTTCAATGAACTGTAGTGTTATTTTAGTATCATTAAAGGGATATTTCATTAAAAATGTAAATTCTGTCATTAAAGGAATCGCTCACTTTTAAAAAAAACTTTTGCTGATAATTTACTCACCCCCATGTCATCCATGATGTCCATGTCTTTCTTTTGAAAAGAAATGAAGGTTTTTGATGAAAACATTACAGATTTTTCTCCATATAATGGACTTCAATGGGGTCCAAAAGGTTCAAGGTCCAAAAGACACTTTTAGTGCAAACTGCAAACTGTTCAAAGGGCTTTAAACGAGTCCAGATGACGAATAAGGGTCTTATCAAGTGAAACGATCGCTCATTTAAAAACAAAACAACAAAGTTTAAGTTTTATAAGCTCAAATGCTCGCCTTGCTCTGTTCTGTTACGTTCATAGAATGAACCAAACGACTCGGAAAAAGATTTGTTCATTTTGATGAACGAGTTCGAACAGGAGAGTCACAAATGTGTGTCACAGA